AACTTTTCATTGCAAAACTCCATATTCCCATCTTCCTGGAAAACTGCCATAGTCTGACCTTTAAATAAAATTTCCAACCCCACCTCACTGCACGACTTCCATCCTATTTCTCTCCTATCCAACCTGTCAAAGCCGTTAGAACGCCTTGTCCAAAATCAACTTTCCAACTTCCTAGAGGAACGTTCTCTCATCAACCCATTTCAATCTGGCTTTTGACCTGGCTACTCAACCAAATCTGCTGTCCTTAAAATAACCTATGACCTCCAAAACTCCATTAAACACCAAAACCTTACTATCCCCATCCTTCTAGATTTTTCCAAAGCGTTTGACACTGTTGACCATAACATCCTCCTTACTAAATTGCACAATTTCCTCTATCCAACAGTGCCCAGCGTTGGTTCAAATCCTTCCTTACAAATCGGTCCCAGTATGTAGTCGTTCCAGGTCAACCTCCATCGATGATCCTCCCCCTCTCTTGTGGTGTCCCTCAAGGTTCCTCTCTATCACCTACTCAGTTTGCTATTTACATAAATGACCTTCCCATCATGATCCATCACTCCCAATACCATATCTATGCAGATGATTTTCGAATATATCTGTCCTTCCCACCCTCCGATCTATTACCAGCCACAAAAAAACTTCAAGAAGATTTGGATGGGATTTGTGACTGGGCAACAGCTAACAGGTTGCAGTTGAATACACAAAAGCCGAAGGCAATCCTAATAGCCTCTAATCACCTCCTTAAAACTGTTCCCAATATTCCAACTCTGTTCCTACATGATAATCCCATTAAATTTTACCACACCATCAAAAACCTTGGAATAATCTTTGATCAAACTTTTTCCTAGAAAAACCATGTATCTAATATCTCCTGGTGTACCTTTTAAACTTCTAAATTACTTCCGTCGCCTATTTCCCCATTATAATTATTGCTGTACGGTATATGAAATGAAATGAAAAAATAATTTTATTCTGGGACTACAGTCCCCTAAGAATAATAACAGTGTTACAAATTTATGGGTATTAGTCTGGCTTAAAATAATAAAAAATACAAGCTAATATACTGCTTATTGTTATTGCAGTTGTGCAATAGTTGAAATTACACAGTATACAGATACAAGTAATTTTACATATTAGCGGAAGTTTGAATGTGGAGTAGGTGGTGGAACAGGAGTTGTTTGAAGGAATTTGTGGACGAGGATTGACGTATGGAGGTAGGAAGAGAGTTCCAAAAGGAGGTAGCACGAATGACGAAGGATTTGCTGAAGGAAGTAGTTTTATGGGAGGGGATATATAAATCTATAGGTTGAGACCTAGTATTGCGAGAGTGGATAGAGGAGCGTAGAGTAAGGAGTTCCAGGATGTAGGGAGGGTTTTTGGTTCTGAAAAAGGAAAACACCAAGGAGGAATTGTCGTTGGGAAGTAGGATGAAGCCACTTCAACTCGTTGTACCAGAATGATACTTGCAAACTCCTGGGGATCCCGAAGATGTATCTTATAAAACAGTTCATGAGTTTCTTCAGTCTCATTTTTAGCCTTGCAGATAGCCCTCCATACATCAAACAAAAGGAATTTAGCTTTTCGGGTCGATTGGATACTGTGTGCAGGTTTTCGAGCTAATAACAGAGAGGTTCTTAAGGATTGTCCATTTGAATTTAGGGTTGGGTTCTTGGAATAAAATGTTATTGAAGTATTGGGATTTGGCATGGCGTAGGGACATTTGTGTGTGGTTTTGTAGGGATTTAGATATGGAATAATGCTGAGGCAATCGAGTACATCTGTAGCATTTTCTAGCAGCCTTTCTTCTCCTCATCAGTTCTCTTCGGTATTGATCCAAGGATGTCTAAAGATACGTGTTTTTAGAGGTGCGTGACGATTGAGGAAATCGAGGAGGTTGGAGGAAAGGCATTCAACCATGTCATCGATGGAGGGGAGAGTATAAATGGGTTCTAAGGAGGCGGAAAGGGAATCGAGAAAAGTGCTGATGTTTTTAGTGGTTAAGGAATCAAGATCTCTCCAGGTAATTTGTTTAGGTTTAGGTGTAGGTGTGGAGATGTTGTATGATATTTCAATAAGATTGTGGGATGAAAGGAAGGGTACTGGAATTTGCGTAGAAGATAATAGGTTATGAGGTGAATCAATAATAAATAAGTCTAGCCAAGTATCAGTGGATTGAGTGTGATGGGTGGGTTGAAAGTAGGTCTAGTAAAATAGGTCTAGCGAAAAAAATAGGTCGATAAGATATGTTTTGCCCGGAGTATTTGAAAAGATGTTGTTGAGATCACCTGCAATAATAATATTTTTAAAGAGAGGAATATATGTAAGAAGGGAGGATTCAAAAGTGGGATCAAATCGGACACGAGGAAGGCAGTAAATAACGATGAATAGTAGGGAAAAGGTATTGGAGGAAATTTGGACAAACAGATATTCTATGTTTGGTAGGTCGGAAGGAGATTTTAGGACTTTGGCCGTCAGACTGTCATGAACGAACAATCCCACACCTCCACCTATCCGGTCCATTCAATCATGAAGAATGAGGTTATAGTTGGGTAAGGAAACAGATAGGGAGGGTATATCAGGTATGAGCCAGGTTCAGAAACGGCAATGGTATTATGGTGAAAATAATCGAGGAATTTGTCATAATGTAGTAGAAGGGATTGGGAGTTAATGTGACAGGATATTAAGGTATTAGTCATGAAGGGATCAAGGTAAGGAAAACCTGCGAAGTGTGACAAAATGATGTTAATATTGATGGAGAAGGCACATTTTTAAACATACATAATGAAATGTGGTAAACAATTATATATATAATATTGATGTAAAACTTACTTGATATTTTTAAACGAGAGTGAACATAAAAATATATGGAGGCGTCTCTGGGGATCTCGAGGTGAAACTGAAACATTTGATAAATTGCTTTATACGATTCATCTTCGGGATCCCATGGGACGCTTCTGTTTCCAGTTTTTATGCAGAGTTGAAGCTGATTTGTCCTTCTTACTGTCCTAAGTATTTACTAGCATCCTTCAATTCAAATCCTCTATTCGTTCCCGGTCTTCAGATTTATACATAAGGGCCTACCGAACCGCTGCTTTTGACAGATCGTTCATTATCCGATCCTCATCCCTATGGAACTCCATCCCTTCCCACATCCGTCAATCCAATACCCTTCCTACCTTTTAATCCTGCCTGTTCAATCATTTCATATCCATCCAGTCCCCATAAAATTGTAAATAGATATGCTTTAAATATATATATAAATTTTAGATCGTCCTTCATTTTTATTTCTTTACTTCCATGTTTTTTTTTTTTCTTTTCTATTATTAACTGATACAAAGTAGAAATTAACTTATATTTTTTTTTATTTTGACTATTCAATTAGTCTGTATTTTTGTTTATGTATCTCTGAGGCTCCTTAGCCCACATTTCTGTCTTTCTATATTATTCTAAAGGGACTCGTCCAAGAATAAATAAAGTACTACTATTATTATTAAAGAAGAAATGAAATATAACAGCATAATAATATATTGATAAACAAGATAGGTAATGTTTGGTTGAAAGATAAATGTTTTAGATGAAATTGCTAACTGGAAAATAATTATAAAAACAATTTTAGTGATTTATCAGGTTAATTGTTAACTTTTTTTTGAGCAAAAAAATAAAAAAATAAAAAAGAAGAGAAAATCCATCATATTGTTACACCTAATATACAAATTACTATATATTTTTATTCTTCTTCTTTATCTTCCTAACATGCCAATTTATTTACATATGTAGATAAATATTTACAACTTATACAAACTCCCAAATGGTCCTTTTAAGTTGAGGTCAGGGCTTTACCAGACCATTTGGTCTCCTCTGTCTACTTTATGACACATTCACCATTGTCAGAATATCATTCATAATAATAATAATCTTTTTATTTATTCTGGGAGGAATCCCTTTAGAATAATTAACAAGGACAGAAATGTGGGCTTATGAGCCTCAGATATATATATATATATATAAATGTATTTACAAAATAAATTAATAGGTATAATGGAAAATAAAAGTTATAACTTAAATCGATTAAGGAGAAAAATAAATAAAGAAAAGAACAATGAAATGAAAATAAACTAATAATATAATATACATATTTACAGAAATTTCTATTTACAATTTTATAGGGACTGGATGGAAAGGAAGTGATTGAATAGGCAGGATTTCAAATTAGTGAGAGTATTAGAACGACGGATGTCAGGAGGGATGGAGTTCCATAGGGATGAGGATTGAATAATAAAAGATTTATCGAAATCAGTGGTTCGGTGGGCCATTATATATAAATCTGAAGACTGGGAATAGGTATTGCGGGAGTGAACAGAGGATTTAAATTGAAGGAGCTCCGACATGTATGAAGGACGGCGGTAGGAAGGATAAAGCCACTTCAGCTCTTCATAAAAACAGGAAACAGGAGCATCCCTTCAGGTCCCGAAGATGAATCATACAAAGCAATTTATCAAACGTTTAAGTTTCGCGTCGAGATCCCCAGAGAGGCCTCCATATAATATGAAGCAATGGTCAAAGTAGGGAAATATTAAGGATGTAACCAGGAGTCTACGGGTTTCAAAAGGAAAAATGTGATGGAGGCTATTTAAATGTTTTAAGGTGGAAAAGGTAGCCAGGAGATATTGGATACATGGTTTTTCAGGAAAGGGTTTGATAAAACATTATTGCAAGGTTTTTGATGGTAGGATCAAAATTGATGGGATTATCAAGTAGGAACAGGGTTGGAACGTTAGGAACAGTTTTAAAGATCATAGTGTGATTATGAGATTTTGTGCCCACTCATAAATGTGAAATAACACTTGTAAAGAAGTTTCAACTCCTACTTTACTTTTCAAATTACATTAACAATATTTTGAGTACAAAATATATCCTTTGAAAATACTTCATATTCAGTTGATTCACAAACGAAATTTATAATGAACATAGTATGATAAACTCTTAAAAAAATAAACTACCTTTTTTGCTGCCACTTTCTTTTCCTTTGAATAAAGAAACTTTGGAATGTTTTCTTCTTCTATTGACAAGTCACTCTCAGATAATGAGTGCACTGTCTTTTTAGAATTACAATCTTTTGAATTTAAGTCATATTTGATTGATGTTCTGGGTTTATTTAAATCTCTATCAGATGAATCACTGTCAGTTAACAATGAAATAATGTAATCTGCCATGATTTATCTACAAAATATAAAAAAGAACATTACATTAATAAAGGTAGTTGAAAAATTACTAATACTAAAATCAAAACGTATGTGGTTCAAATCAAAAACTTCTGAAGAAAAACCACCAAGGTTTGAAACTAGATCAGAAACATGCAAAAATCATTGTTGTGCAACCTACATTGTATATGACTCCAGAAAACTGGCACTTTACCGTGGAAAGTACATAATATAACAAATAAGCATAAAGTATAAGTATATATCAACACTTAAATATAGTATAGCCAATTTAAATAGACCGCTTAGGTACAAAAACAAAGAGCTAATATAAGTTAAAAATCTCTTAAATAGATAAAATAATTTATTTAAAACTGTAAATGGGTCATTCTTATATTATTTAACTATTTGATTTCCCCGGGCTTTCCATTCGTTTTTCATATTTTTCCAGCTTAAAAAAAAGGTAATGGTATTATTTTTTGTATTGTTGTTCTATTTGGAACGGAGTTAAAATAAATCTACCTCAACCACAAAAATAAATAACTTAATGTGAATATGAAAAAAACTTAGGAATTTTACTGTCTCCACAGTGAAGATAAGAAGTTCTTCATGCTTTGTATATGAAACAATCTGTATTGATTGATTTTTAGCCTTGAGGAATTTTACTATTATAATAGGGTGTTTAAAAAAATTATCGTTTTTCGTCCAAATATTTGTATTATTATTTCTTTGATACAAAATACAATTAATACTCAAACTATAGTCTATTGTTATCTGCCGCCTGGTAGCCAATTGCTCGATCCCAAGCTGATACCATTCTTTGGGATGCTGCCAAAGAACTCTTGGACTTCAATTCATCTTTCAAAAAATTATCAAATTTTTTCGCTTGAAGAAAATGGGCTATGGATCTAAATGGTTAGTAATACGATGGTGCGAGGTCTGGACTATAAGGTGGATGAGGCAGGAGTTCGAATGCATGAAGTACTATAAACTTTTCTTTGGTTCGACGGGAAGTGTGAGGACGAGCATTATCTTGTTGGAATAAAATTCCTTTTCGGTTGATCAAAGCAGAATAACGCTCTGACAACTTCGCATACAATCTTTTCAGTTGTTCGCAGTAGAGTTCAGTATTCATAGAGCATCCAGGAGGAACAAATTAATGATGAATAACACCTTCAAAACTCAAAAGCATGGATTTTTTTTTTTTCCAATTGCCCCTTGCAGCAACCCGAAATCAGTTTGACCGCGATCTAGCCATTGCTCATGGGGATTTCCCCAGTAAACCCACTTTTCATCACAAGTGACTATCTTCTTGTAAAATCTCATATCAGAAGGGGTTTTCAATGAATTGTCACAAATTTCTGACCTCTTAGCCGATTTCTGACCTCTTAGCTGATTTCTGAGGAGTACGTTCGCGAAAGACAAATCTACTGGTCTTTTTCACTTTCCCCATGCAGAGTAGATAGCGACTAACAGTATCTTTCGACACACCACACTGCTTGGCAAGTTCGCGAGTAATTGTGGACCGATTTGACTCAACAGCTTTCTGCAGAACCACATCAATATCCATTAATGGTCGCCCTGAGTCCTTCTTCCTTTCCAACGTCGTATTTATTATTTTCGGACTAAACGACAAGAGGAAAACATGGGACGGATTGCAGCAAGTGTAATTGTACATGATCAACGAAATTTCTAATTTTACCTTAGGTCATGGCCAGGAGCTTTGTGGGAAGGTGATCCGTGTATGGTATTGGATATTTCTGAAGGATTAAATGCTTTAGGTGGGAGGGTCAATTGGAGTTGGATATCGAGTTCTGCTTCAATACACTCAAGGTGGATTGGATTTAGGATATCTGAGTCTGGGTTAAATGTTTTAAAGTGGTGCTGAGCAAATATTTGAGATTTTTCTTCGTCAGATCTGGATCAGATTTGGGTTTCAGTAATAAGTGGGTGGTTAAAATCTTTGAATTTTAAGAGCTTTTTAGTGGTCAGCCATTGTGATTTGTCAGTAGTTGTAAGATTTTCTGTTAAGTTGAGTGAATTTTGAATTTTCTATTTTCTAATTTCAGCTTTTAGTTGGTTTGTTTACTTGTTGTAATATGACTTATCTGATGGGTACCTAGTTCTATGCTACTTCGAACTTGCTCTGTGTTTTTTCCGTAATAAGATACGTCTGTTGGGATTTGTTATTTTTATTGGTTGATTTATTATTGTTAATTTTGTCACTTATAGATGTAGTGAGTACTTCTATGGCTGAGTCAATATCATGTTTCGTCTAAAATGGAATATTTAGGTCCAATTTATTTTCCAAGTGTTTACGAAATTTGTCCCAGTTTACTCGTCCTGTAATCAGTGTAGGAGAACAGGGGGGCTTAGGAACGAAGGTTGAATGTAATGAAAGCAGAACTGGAGTATGGTCTGAGGAGAGGTCATCTAGGGATTTGATAGTGACATAGGAAGAGGAAATCTGGGAGGTTACAAATATGTCCAGGATATCAGGTCGTTTTTTGAAGGAGGTTGGCCAATAGGTAGGATTTATAGGAGAGAGGATGGATTAACTATTAGAAGTTGAGACAGAAGATAGTAAGTTACCACGGGATTTGGATGTTCGACAACCCCATCGTTGGTGTTTAGCGTTATAATCTCCTTCAGCAATAAAGCGTGATCCGAAGGATTGGAATAAGGATTCAAACAGATTGTAGGTAAGGGTATGACCAGGAGAACAGTATACAGCTGAAAGTGTTAAATGGAAAGGACGAATTGGAATGATTACCGAGGTTGCTTGAATAGCCTCAGTTGGAGTAAAAGGAATTAGGGAATGGGATACGTATTTATGGATAAAGATGCAAGAACCGGCATGGGAAGTGTTGTCGGGGTGGTATGATCTATAAGTGATGTAGTGACGTATGTAGAAATATGAAGGGGGCGGGGTGGCCGAATAGGATAAAGCGTGTGCACAGCACCGCTAGTTGCCTGGCAACCGGATAACAGAGGTTTGAGATGATATAAAAAGTACGAGTTCGCGTCCCAGTGCCGGAGGGGATTTTAAATTTCCCGCCCTCACCCCCCGGCCCGGGAAAATCCCGTATAGCCTAAAAGGCGAGGTAGGGAAGAACAAAAAAAAAAAAAAAAAAAATGTAGAAATATGAACGTTGAGTGAAGTGAGTTTCTGTCCGCAGATCAATATCAATGTGGTTTTCATGAAGAAAAATGTCAAGTTCCTCTCGGTGGTTTTGTAGTCCGCATTGGTTAGCATTCCATAAAAAAACAGCTAGGGGCTTTGTGCTCATCGTGGGAGATTAAAGTTAATTTCGGTAAGGATTCTTGTGAGGAGGGTGATTAGTGGCTTGATAGTATTTTGGAGCTCTATCAGGAAGGAAGCAAGGGTGGAGTGGATTAAGTCGATCGGATTTTGTTGGTCAGCTGGAATTTGTGAGGGATATCTCTTATAATAAGGAGTGTCTGATGAATGATGTACCCGTCGTGATGTACGAGAGGCTGAATCATAATTAGATGAAATTTGGGAAGGAGAGTTGGAGTTGGTTCTTCAGGCGGTAGTTTGTTATGTAGAGGTAACTGATAAGGAGAGATTGGCTGACGTGGTGATTTTGAGTGCATGTGGTCTGAGTCTTGAATTGGGAAGTCTGGGGCTTAGGTTTGGAAGCCTGGGTCTTAGGTGTGGAAGACTGAGGCGTCTGACGTCGCGGCTGCTGATTCTCCACTATGGTGTCAGAATATGGTTGCCTGGAGTCCTGATGAGGATGATTTGTGGATCTAGAATTCTGTTGTGTAAATCGTGGTGCAATTTCGTTCGGCAATTCAGGAAACGTTGCCAAACGTTGTCCTTCGGGTGCCTGTGCCTGGATAGGATTCTTCTGTTCTTGAGTTTTTAATATGTTGTAAGTCCTTAGCTTATATAGCCTCTTGTAGACAATGCAGCCCCGATAGATTGCAGGGTGGTTCTTACCACAAAGGACACATTTTTCTGGTTCATTTAATGGTTTCTGGCATGTGTCAGAGGCGTGAGGACCGCCACATTTGACACACCGCGCCAAGTGATGGCAGTAGGCCTTTGTATGCTCTAAGTTTTGACACTTGGTGCATTGCACGACTATTGGTTTCTATTGGCTTCGGTTCTTCAAATTTTACTGTTGAATAAAGTGGCTTTTTAACTTCGAAGATTTCAGAATTATTCCGGGCTGGTCCTAAATGGATAAAAAAATAATGGAAGTGTGTATTTGTTGATTGGATGTAAAATAGATGATATATGCCTTACATTGTGGCCGATATCTTCGAGATCTTTTTTTATAGCGGTAGTGGAAGTGGTTGATTGAAGATCTCTCAAAACGACCGTATATGTTTTTTCTTTTTTTAATTGATAGCGGTGGAAGTCATAATTGTGTGATGTAAAGTAATTTACAAGTTTTTATAGTCATCTTTGGTGTTGGTATTGATTTTTATGTCGTTGATACGATAAAAACACCGGAAATTGGTCTGTCCGATCAGATTAGCTATTTCTTGGTGATAATATATGAATTTGTAAAAATTTCATTTCCGTTTTTTTTTTTTTTATTCGAATTATATCGCTAATTTGGTGTGATAATTCATTTTTGATTTCCTTTATTTCAAGAAATTGGAGGTCATAACACCTGATTGTTCCTTTGCTGAAATTTAGAGTATTGTGAGGAGACATCTGTATGGGTTGGTTGGTGAATTGACCACAATATTAGTTACACTGCTGCAGTTTCTCTGACTGATTTGTATTTTTTGTTTCTATTAGTAACTAGCCATTTCTTAATTTTTTAAATATTTTTTAGATCTCCTACTAATCCTGTTAAGAACTTATTTATAAAAAAAAGTAAAACTTTCTGTAAATCCTGTTCATCGGATCTTGTATAATCAGAAATGTAGGGCTGATTTTTGTTTGGTTTGTATCTATTGGGTTGTATTGTATTGGGCGGGGTGACCGAACGGGTTAGCGTGTGTGCATTGCACCGTCATTGCCCGGCAACCTGATATATGGTAAAATATATAGTCACGAGTTCGCGTCCCAGTACCGGGGGAGTTTTTTAAATCCCCGTCCAAACTCCCTAGCTGTGAAACCCCGTATAGCCTTAAAGGCGAGGAAGGGAAGGACTCCAAAAACAAAAAAAAAAAAGTTTGGTTGGTACCTTCGGCTAATATTTTAATACGACCACGAGGTCGTTTTCTTTTTGCCTTGGGGCTTTTAAGATCTACGGGGTCTCCCATAGATTAAATATAGTAAAAACGAAAACAGTATCCTCAGATAAAAATAAGATAAGGG